GGTAGAAGTCATAGGTAACAAAAAAAGTAAGTGTCAATTTGACGTGAAATCAAGTAAAACGTATGTATCTGGTTTTTATTTAACCTTAAACAATTTTAAATAATTCTTTTTTATTTTTCAGTTAAATCTAAGATTTAAACTTCCGAAGCAAAAGAAAAACAAAAGGTTAAGCATGGGTTTTTTGTTGAAGAGAAACTTGGATTTTTATTTATTTTTAGCTCTTAGTGCTTTCCTTTGCGAAAGTATTATCCCAACTTTGTTAATTCTTGAAGCGAATTATGGTTTTGGTTATCTTCCATCATAAACTGTAAACTATGCACGTGAGAAATGACTATGCATATATTAAACTCTGAAAAAGGACTTAACAGGATGGCTTCATAATTTGATTTTAGATCCTGAAAGAGTACTCTCGGGCACTAGACAGGTGGTCCCTCCTACCCTCTCACGCCAAAACATATAGTTACTTAAAATATATAAAAAAATCCAAGTGGTCAAAGCATTATAGAATTATATATATATATATATATATATATATATATATATATATATATTTGCCACTTTGCTTAGTCAGAAGCTTAATTGATAGTAGCCATCATTTGGAAGAGAGCACGTGTGTAATGATGATAGAAGTAATATCATTCCCTAATTGGTGGTGAAAATGGTGTACAGTCTACCAAATCATAACACCGAATCATAGGCCCCTGAATTTTCTTTTTTCATTTCAATTTTTTACTTTTCCTTCTATCTGTACTACTCAACTCGAATAAATTTGTTTCTGGTAAAAATAGTGATGAAAAAAGAAACAAGTAAAAGATTTTTTTAAGAAATATTTCTTACATCCATTTTTAACATCTTTTTATATTATATTCATGATCAGCTTGCTTTATTACATTTTGTTTATCCTTTTATATTATGTTCATGATCACATCTTCAATGGCTTTCGAATAGGTATGAAAGAGCATTCATAATCAAACACTAATAAATAAGATATTTGAATTATTATGCTTTATTTTTTAAATTATTTATAATTAGATTGTTACATAGGTACTGATCCTGTGATGGGTGTTTATATATTTATCTTTATGCGGAGTAGCGTGAGAATATGATTTTTTTTATTCCTGATTCTCATGTAAGTCTCCTTCTAATTATTCATACTCAATGAAATGCAGGTGGTAAAAGATCGAGCTTATTGTGTTTTTTATTCTAATTATTTTTGGCAATTATGACAGATAAAGAAATGAGCTTCAGAGACAGCACCAAAGTCCCAGACCCTAAAGACACAAATGCGAAGGAGCAGAAAATGCCACATGCTTTTGTCATGATGAGGCTTATACTGGTTGTAGTAGGAAGAAAACTTTCCCGAAATCCTAATACGTATTCCAGTGTATTAGGACTTCTTTGGTCTTTAGTCTCTTTCAAGTAAGTCATACACAACCCTTTACCGGAAAGTAACTATAATACTGATGTAAACAAGAAATAAATAAGGTAAAAAAGAGAAAAAGTCAAAAAATAAGTGAAAGAGATAGTTTCATGGAAAATAAATGAACAAAAGTAATTTTACTTATTCAAATTATAATAATTTATGATCATCATATAAACGCTTGTTTTTTTTATTTTAGCATATAATAGGTGATGTGTTTAACATAATAAACACCAATCAGTTATATTGTATATTTCTTTTACTTTTTAGGAGAAAGGTTAAGTTTGTCTTGTCTTCTTGTTTTTCTCTTATTTCTTTTCTATTCTTCACACATTCACTCTTCAAAACTACCACTCATACTTATATATATGTCCATTTTTCATTTTACCAAAATTTTCAATCTTCCCACATATATCCTGTCAACTCCACTAATACTTCTCTTTTCTCGCCAAATTCATCTCGTTTTTTGAGGTTATATTGAAAGTTATGCATAATGAATTATATATTTCCCCAATATATAGTCTGAATGATCTACATAATCCATTATGTAGGACTCATAATTGGTTACGTAGTGATTAAATGTATTTGTCTTTAATGTCTTATGCAGGAATTATAATTGATTATGTGAATAATAAATTTCTAGAATAACTTTTAATTAATCGTATATAATCAATAAGAAACACGTCCTATTAATTATTCACCCATCTATATTTCAAAAATCATGACAGGAATTTGTTTTGAATTTTTGAAATTAAAATAATATTGTACTAAAGATATAACTATCATTTATATAACAATATTCACATTTCTTTTTCTTATTTCACATGAAACACATAATCACACTTTTTGTTATTTTCTCTCTCATTCCATTCACTTTCTTTCATTCACACAGTTTCATTTTCTATTTTATTTTTTGTTTTTCGTTCATTTTCAACCAACTTTCTTCACTGAACTATTTCTCCCTTGGTAAAATTTCATATTAAAAAACCTTTTATGCATGTGTAATTAGCAGCTATGTAATTTTTATACCTTTTATGATGTGATTTTACAGATGGAATATGGAAATGCCAAGTCTTATCAAATCATCCGTCAAAATCATCTCAGATGCCGGCCTTGGGATGGCTATGTTTAGCTTAGGTATTACATTTCATATATATAAACAGCTTTAATTATAATATTATACCCGTGCATATTAGTTTCATATACACTACCTCTGTGTTTAAACATAACAAAAACAAGTATCTATATTGAATAAACTGAAATATAAACTAAGTACAATAATTTAATCATATGTAATGTTATAATTAAGAATATTTTTGTTATGACATTATCAAATTATCATTTCTCCTGAATGTAATATGTCCCTATAGCACGTGATGTTGGAGGAAAAATGAACCCAGCTGTAAAATGAAGAGGAGAGTAGAAAATTAGTAGTCATATATCTATTTCTATACAAAAGCAGTGACAGATACACATTGCCAAATGTGCAGGGCTTTTCATGGCCCTTCAGCCCCGTATCATAGCCTGCGGTACTAAAAGGGCAGTTATGGGCATGCTCATTCGCTTCCTGTGTGGACCTCTTGTAATGTCTGCATCTTCCATTGCCATTGGATTGAGACATGACATACTTCACACTGCCATTGTACAGGTATTTGAGCTATGCATATATGTGGAATGACTTCACATCTGCACGCACCACATGGAAATTGTACCTCATATGTTGCTAAAGGCAAAAGTTAATATATTACAGTTAGACCAATAGCTGAAATTGCCGTACTTATGTTTCTAAGTTTGCCTCAATTTATACTTCCAGGCTGCTCTTCCACAGGGGATAGTGCCATTTGTATTTGCCAGAGAATATGGCCTGCATCCTGATATTTTGAGCACAGGGTAAGTAAGCAAGGAATTTTTTGCTTCTGAGACCTCATTATTTGGACTTGATTCAATGCCTGTAGCATCTTAATGAATTGAAAATGTTTCAAACTGATGTTAAAGATGTATAAAATTTCAATGCTGCATGTCATGCTGTCGTTGCTGGCTAAATTGGATTATATGTGTAAGAATATGCTTTTCACTTTCTTGATTATAGAAGTCAGGCCCCAGAATAGTTTAATGATACAACATCAAGGTGATAGTTGAGTGAGAGTGGGGTAATATTCATTGTAGAAGGTTGATTGGAGGATAAAGTACTCAGAAAATGAAATGATGCGAAGACTAAGCAAAGAGTATTGTATGTTAACATGCCCCACATAATAAGTTGATTATTATGCGGCTTTAGCTAAGATAGGATACCGAATCTATCACACATATTCTCCCTAACAACCAGGGCGTGTATAACTTGGACATACATAATTATGTGTGCTAATTGTGACTCAAAATGCATTTGCCTTTTTCATGACGAGTTTCCCTCAAAATTTTAACCTTAAAAGCATTTTCGAGCACCCTCTTTTACCTTGTTAGTAGGTAATCATTAGTACACGAAGTGTTTTCTTGATACTGAAAACCCAGAGAAGGCTCTATGCAAAACTTGGTCTAGTAAGACTTTAACACCATCCTAGCTTACCTTTCTAGTCACCCTTTAGGTTAAATTAAGTCAAGTTAATGTTAACTTTCAATTAACATTTGCTGTCTTTTTCTCTTTTGCAGGGTTATCTTTGGTATGCTGGTTTCCTTACCGATAAGTCTCTTATATTACATATTTCTTGGCATATGAAGGGAACGAAGAGAAGTTACAACCTTAGAGAAGAAAAGTATTATCCAAACTATAATAACCCTACTAGACTAGGTGGGGTAATATATATACACATATTGGAAAGCTTCCATGTTTCTCCATGATTCTGCCAGCACCGACCACAATTATATACGAAGGTTGTCCATTATTGTAGACACCACCTGCGGAGAAGGTTGACTTTGGTAAGGCCAAACTTTTTCAATAGACACAAGTGTTAAGGGTGTGACAGAAATGACAGAGAGTTGTAGCTAGGATTTATAGTTTTAGACATGCCCTGCTACTACATAGATTAGTGGTAGCCGAAAGGGAAATAAATATTATCATGACCAATTATTAAGGTAGGAAACTTGCTTTGTTGTTGGAGGTTGGAAAAGCTTGTGGGAACAAATGTTGACCCCTCCTCCCTCATATAAAAGTTGGAAGGCGACATTTTGCCAGATTTATGGCACTCTAAGGTGATTTATGATTTTGTCTTCAATATATCAAACCAATGAGAATATAGTAATTGATTGTATGTGAAACAAGGCCTTACCACAGTTGATTAAGCTTTCAAAAGCAGATTCTTATTTTCTCTTTTAATGGAACAAGGGTGGGGTTACATGCAACAGTGTCAAAATAAGATTATTACTTATTATAACTCCCTTATGTGTCTTTTCCAACAAATTATTATAATGGACAACAATTGAATGAGTCCTAATCCTACAGGATTTCTTCTGGCATAAGCCTTCAACATCACAGTTTCTTTCATTTGAGGTGAAAGAGCAATACATACAACTGATTATGCTCTTGATAAGAAGTAGATTTGGAAACTTCCTTCCCAAAGATCTGAAGCACTTTTATATATGTAACACAAGTATTTCTCAAGTACCAAAAGCAAATAGCAGTGCATATTTATAGCTGCTAAATAATCCAGGGCCTATTTACGATCTGCTTAACCTGATCTGGAAATAAGACTTTTAGGCGAAGGAAATCCCATTTCGATTTAGAAAAAAGAAAACTTCAGTTATATATGGATGACATGAGACGGGTCGAAGAAATACATTTTATGAATATCCACACCCGTCTGAATCATATCACACTCGATAAATTTGGTAGTTGATTTCTTTATTTTTAAGGAAGTCAATTTAATATAAATATAACTGGTTTCATAAAGCAGAAGCGAGTGTACAATGTATGTGTTAAGCGTTTATATTGTTTTAAATTATAATCAAAATGGCCACAATTAATTGAAATTAGAAATCTAGTAATATACAAAAGAAAAAAAAACAATAAATATATTATCTAAAAATTTTGAATTTGAAAGTGGCATCATGATTTTTTGTATACAAGTTTTCTTTGAAAAATTCTCATCTATCAATATTTTGCCTTTTTCGTTATGCCATTCACAAAAAGCATAGACAAATAAGCTACCAAACTTGGAAGAGAAAAAAAGTGGGACTAACATTGTTTATTGTTTCTTCCCTTTTCTTTTCACCAACAAGAATACGATGAGACTTGTTTTTGACAAAGCTACATGTTTTCCAGATTTTATTATCTTTGTAACATCCTTATCCTTGTTATTTTGGATAAGATTTTTAGAGTTTTTCTTGAAATCTTCTTAGTGATAATACCTTTATAGGTGGGGTTCCTTTGTTAATTTAACTTGTGATGAGTTTTGAGTTTATCATACATATTCTTAAAGTCTCCAAAGTGAAATATTAAGGACGGTTCTCCCACATATGATTGTGGAGGCCCGGGGAAGAACATGTTAAGAAGCTTCTCCCTGCACCACCACCACCGCCACGTGTACACCTTCCCATTCCCAAAATACCCTCATATAAAAATTAAATAATGGTAGTTAAAGCAAATTTACTGTGTTTCAATCTACTTTTCACTTTTCGACTGCTTCATTAATCACACTTCCTGTCCCTAACTATATGTGCACCTCTCACCGACCATTTTCTCATTTTCCTCTCATTCTCCTTTCTCTTTGTGTGGTCTGTGTGATCCTCGTGTATTTGTGATTGAAGTTTCGTGTGTTAACATAAAGATAAAGATGAAACCTAGAAGTTTTGATGTCGAAAGTCAAGTCTCAATTTCTCAAGTTACAAGAAAGTCTTCATGAATACTTGTTTTTATGTTAAAGCTTTTTGTAATTCAGTAGTTTTATGTATAAGGTATTATTTATCCTTTATTACATGTATTATGTGTTAAATTTTTTCCAAAAACTCATTTTACCTTGCAATAATCGATTACCAACTAATGATAATTGATTATTTATAATCGATTATTACTTACCATAATCGATTATCACAAACAAGTATGAGAATTTTCAAGCATGTTTTTTAACGTTGTGCATACATTAAATACATAATCGATTGTCACATTTAGATAATCGATTATCACCCATTAAATAGCTGACAACGATTATTTGGAGGTATCCTTGAGTGAGTTCTCTATAAATTGGATTGTGACTCTCATTCTAAAATACAAAATACGTAAATTTTGAAAATCTTATCTGTTTTGCTATGTGATGTGATAAATGTGTTTTAGGGTTTGTGTAACCCTTGTACTTGTAGCTTTGAGAACTTGATGTGGGTATAGAGCAAGAACTTCTACGGGAATTGTGATTGAGTGTTGTTGCTTTTGCTGAGTAAAGTCTGTCATCCTTTGTGAAGATTTAAAGGAGGTGATCATCCTTCGTGAAGCATTCGAAGGAGGTGCTCATTCCTTTTGGCTTTCAAGGGAAGTGAGTTTCATCTCTTGGGTAACAATAGAATTGTTCTAACCTTAAACTTGTTTATTTTCTTTGTGATTGTAACAGTTTGTTGGTTTGTGATATTGGATCGTTAATTCTCATTTGAGATTAACAATTGGACGTAGGATCATTGTGATCTAAACCAGTATAAAATCACCTATGCAAATTTGTCTCTTCCTTATACTCTTATTTGTTTTAATTTATTGTTAAGGAATTTAAATTATAAGAGAAAATATTTAAAGGCACGATCTGCGATTAGAAACCAATTCACCCCCTCTTGGTTTGTTGTCCATGCTAACCATTTCGCTTCACCGCTTTGACATCGTGGTACAAGGAGGTTAGTGAAGGTGGTCCCGTGGTGCAAGGAGGTTGGTGAAGGTGGTCCGGTGGTAGTCCAATGGTAATTTGTTGAACTCTCAAGAAGTGAAAATTTGTCGAGACAACATCTTTGACTAAACCCTTTAAAAGTCTTAAATTAAGATCCAAAAACATTTAGAAGATGAAACTTGGTAAACACTTTTGCCCTAGATTATACCATGAGTTAAACCTTTCACTTCGTCTAACGATGAATTTCTTACTCAATACTTGATATCTTAGAGAAAAGCATAAATAATAAACACTACCTCAACCGTAGAAAATGTAAAAAGCACTTTGTTATTCTGAACAAGCATTATGTTCAAAAACAACAAAAGTGATAAGAGATAAGACATATATGTTGTATGCACAATCTACTCTATTCTATTGAGATAACCTACTACATGCATCCACCTACTTTATTTGAAATATATCAAAAGTGGATGTTAGAGACAAAGAAGACATTCATAGAATGTTCTCTCCATTAGAAGTCGTGCCTGAAAGATAGTACAACATACTTCTAGCAAAGTACTGAAAAAGCAAGTCTGCTTTGATAAGGTGACTTTAACCAATGGCTGCTTCACACAACAAGATAGAGAAGACACAAGATTCAAGGCTAAAGAGCTTAGTCTAACGGATATCTATTGAAGAGCCTGTAAATAGAAGGTCATTCAAAGAAAGAATCAAGAGGATAACTTACAACGAAAATATCATTAGACGAAAAGCTCACAGTAAAGCTCAAGCTCAAAGAAAATATCTAGAAGAGAAAAAGCAAAGCCAAGCAACTCTCAAGCTTCATTGTAATATTTGCTTACTATTTGTAAGAAAAGAGAAAAGATAAAAGAGAGAAACACATATCGAGTCTATAGACTACATTGTATTGAACAATATCCTCTTTGTGGGAGTAATCGTCTAAATGACTTGTAAGCAATCCGTTGATTGCAATTCTGAAAAGAATTAAAATGATTGTTCTATAAATAAGGCCAATCAAGGAAATCTAGGCAGCGTACTAGAGGATACCAGGATTGTCTAGTGGAAACCAGGAGCGGGTGAAACTCAACCAGTCTAGGGTTATAGGAGTTATTCGCTATTGGGGATACCAAGAGTGGTGAAAAATACTGCACAACCAAGAGTGGGTGAAACTCAACTAGGGAACGTATCGGGGGATACCAGGAGTGCCTAGGTATATCAAGAGTGGTGAGAATACTCAGTTGTAATCTTGTTGAAGATTATAGTAGAACCCTCTAAGGATAGAGGAGACTGGACGTAGCTCAGTTATAGTGAATCAATATAAAAATACCTCTCTCTCAACGCTTCTCTTACAAAACCTACAGTCACATTTTAGTTAAAAATATAAAAGCTTCCCATACTAAACGATTGCTCATTAAAACAGAAGTTTTTACAAACAATGCAATGAATATTCTGAGTAACACTTAAAAAGAATTTATTGTTTAAAACCAATTACAAGTTGAGAGTTTAATAACTACTTGAAAAATCTCATACTCGACAAAAGTGCTATATTAGGAAAGTTACAAAAAAGTTTTTCCATTAATACTATTCAATAACCCTCCCCCCTCCCCCTTCTAGTGTTTTTCATGTACTTCATAGAGCACTGGGCTCTCCTGGTTGGCCTCCAAGGTCGACGACACAACACGTCATATACAATGGCAAGACAACCCGACAATCCTAAAGCCCGACCTCAATGGTCATCCAAGAACTTAGTCTCTTTGATCACTACTTCCAAAATGCTCGACAAAATAGTCAATCAAGGAGCTCGACCCTAAGGCCATATTGCTTTAATCTCAAAGCGAGCTTGATACTACTTTAAGCTTAGAGAGAGCACGACCCCGTGACCATACTACTTTAAGCTCAGAGAGCTCAGCCCCGAGGTCATACTACTTTAAGCTTAGAGAAAGCTCGACCTTGAGGCCATACTATTTTAAGCTTAGAGAAAGCTCAGTCCTGAGGCCATATTACTTTAAGCTTAGAGAGAGTTCTACCCTGATGCCATATAACTTTAAGCTCAGAGAGAGCTCGCCACCGTTGTATTACTTTAAGCTCAAAGAGAGCTTAGAGAGAGCTCGACCTCGAGGTTACATTGCTTTAAGCTTAAAGAGAGTTCAGCCCTAAGGCCATACTATTTTAAACTCAGAGAGAGCTCGACCTGGAGGCCATACCACTTTAAGTTTAGAGAGAGCTCAACCACAAGGATGTAATTACTTTGAAGCTCGAATACAACTCGACCATGAGGTCAAAATTATTTTGAAGCTAAGATAGAACTCGGCCATAAGGCCAAAATTATTTTGAAGCTCAAATAAGAGCTCATCCACGAGGCCGAAATTACTTAAAAGCCTAGAGAGAGTTCGACTCTA